AGGCGAGAGTGCTGCCATTGAGCAGATGCTGACATCTTTAAGAAAATGTTTGAATAAAAATATTGCTGTCATTATCTTTATTGCAATGAGCAAATTAGGAAAGCACTTGCATTGCATCGTGCCTTTGATGAACTCAAGATATCCCAATGTTCTTCACTGCACACAAAGCATAGTCACTGTCACAATGTAGGAAAGGACACAAACCACTAATAGCAATATTACATTTCTTATCTTCAGTAGCGGGACATTTAAACAAAGGGATGCATTCTGGCTGCCTATAGCAGTCAGTTAGGGATTCAGTGCAAATCTGCACTCTTTTATACACATTGTCATGCCCTGATTGATGAGCTCTTAAAGACATCCCATCTCAAACTATCTGGTTGAATGAGGATTATTCAAGTTCCATCAAAATCATGGATAAGCTTACATTTAGTGGTGGTAATAGAGGGTGGTAGGCAGCAGAGGAGAAAATTGGGTTCTCATCCAAACTGATGTTTAACTGAAACAATTCAATTATCTTGTTAAATCCAATAGTCTTCTGTGTCAGACAAAACACCCATTTAATTACCAGGTATTTCTAATTGCAAGATTGATCCTGAACTCTCAAGTAGAGTCAATCCCAGATTGAGAGTGACATATCAATTATCATCAGCTTGTTGCATTCTGAAGGAAGACATTTCTTAACTTCTGAAATCCTTGATACAGTTATTCATTTAAGAGGCTATTTATTCAAGTTTATTCGTCTCCAACATTTGAAAGCAAAATACTGCAAATTCTTGGAAACCTGAAATAACAACATACTGGAAATGTACATCAAGTCAGTTGTCTTTATTACAAATGTTTATCTTTCTGTGCTATTACTGTAGTTCAATTATTCTATATAAATGGCATCCAAACTGATTAAGATCAAGGAGCAGAAGTAGGCCATTTGGCCCATTGAATCTGCTCTGTCATTCAATGAAATCATGTCTAATCTGATAATTCTCATCTCCACTTTCCAGCATATCTCCATAACTTCACTTACTGATTAAAAATCTTCAATCATACTCCATCTGGAACTCAAATCCAGGTGACTGTAATTCACTACATAAACCATTTAAATTGCAATCAGCCTTAACATCACACAAGACAATGATCAGAAAATGGATAAATGGATTTCCTAAGATTCAATCAAGTCTTATTAGGTTAGATTATCTCTACAGCAGAGGGGTCAAAAACTTTAACCACCCCGATAGCACTTTGGGTGCAAGTCAATTTCAGGACTCCAAGGCTTCAAGATAAAAGTCTATCTCTGCCTTTAAGGATTAATTAGGAATAGGCAACAATTGTTCGACACAACTATTCTAAAAATTATTTTTTCATTTAAGTTATTCCAGGTATATCTAAAGACTTAATTTACTGAGATTCTCACTTGCAAATGGTTCTTACAAGATATTTTGGTTACCTGAATTTGATTAGGATGTGACTCAGTCCCTGGTGTCCAACAGTCTTTGGTTAATCAGAACCAAGTATTATCAACTTAGTTTCAAATTGATCCAGAACAAGTTGAATTAATACAACACACAACATTCATTAGAACATGAAAACTTAAAATAATTTGTTAAAACTCCCCCATGATACGTATCTGGACGTCTTCACTTCAACATCATCACTGTCAAATACTAAAACATTACAGAAAGAAAAAAAAATCACTTAATTGCATTCAGTTCCAAATACGTCAAGTGAACGCTGAATGAAGGAAGCATTAAGTTGACGATACATGATTCAAAATATATTATTTAATCAGCTTTCAATGCAGCTCATGAGTATACACTTAAATTTCCGTTTGATGATATTATTGAACTCAGTTTCAGCTGCGTGACTCAAACAAAAATGTTAACACAAGAATAATTGTCTGCACTCTATAACAAAATCGGAAGTTTTTTTTTAAACGAATGCTCTTAGAAATCAGAGAACAAACGATAAATTCCCTCATTGTGTTTGATTGTTAAGTTCAACATAAAAGAAACATTGTTCAAAACGGATCTTTTGTGTATGACTTGGGGGCGAATATGTCGACAAGAGAACCAGGAAGATTTCGTGCATGTCAATTCATCAATCAGCCACTCGTTCCCATTGAAAACATTCGCTGTGTTTGCATCACGATTATTAGCTTTAACCTCTAGGTGGCTTTAGCTCTTGTCAACTTGCGATTAATTGATCTGTGGAGATGTTTTCATTTTGACTTGAGCATTGATGTTATTGCACATCTCTGGAGCAGATGGGAAATGAATCCAGGCTTCCTAGCTCAAAGGCGGGGAAATTACCTCTACACCACAAGAGCTCAACACAATCTAAATATTTCCTAACCCGCCTGTCACACAGATGTCATTACACATTTGGAGCTGATGGGACTCGAATTTAAGCCTTCTGGCTCAGAGATAGGGACACTATCACTCTGCCACGGGAGCCCTCATCAACACAATTTTATTTTTGGTACATGCAGTAGTACTCCGCTCTATCAGTTAAGCTATTGAAGGAGAGCCACAACATGATTTACATACATATTTTGAATCACCCTGTTCAGATGGGTAATGGCAAGTCTCTGGAGCAGGTGGGTCTTGAACCTAAGCTTTCAGGACCAGAGGTAGGTACTCTGCCACGTAGCCGTTAACACAAACCAGATATTTTCTAATGCACCTATTCAGAGATGTTATTCAGAGACATCCCACCTCTGGAGGGGACGAACGTGAACCCGGGTCACTTGGTCCAGATGTAAACACAATCTAGGTTTTTGTTTAATTACCCAGAAGTTCTGCCACGCTCAACTGAGCTGCTTTCCCACCACCAAATCACCATGACTTCTTTTTTAAAACCATTACCTACCGCAAGTAATCAGCCATATAGCCAATTAAATTTCTACGAGCAAAACCCAGTAAGACCCAGTCTAGATGGTCTGAATTTGGAATAGGATCCAGGTGACCAGCCATTTTCTCATATTGAATCCAATGAATTGTCGGATTAATAGAATTCCTCATTAGAATCCCACTTCATAATCATACCTATGTGTCCCTCGGGATCTCTGGTGATGCAGTAGTAGTGTCCCAACCCCTGGACCGAGAGCCCCGGGCTCACGTTTCACGTGCTCCAGGGATGTGTAATAACATCTCTGAACAGGTCGATTTCGAACCAGAGGTTAAAATTTTTAAAAATGCCCAAGTACCCCTATCTCAACTAAACCTTTGTTAGATTGTAGCTTGCAATTTACAATCAGGCATCCATTGATTAATGAAATGAACATATTAGTTGAGTTACAATCACAACTTACTTTCGGTTACCTAACGTTTCCTACATCGAGGTCATCTAGGAGATATTCCATTAATTTTCAAAACGTACCGAAAGAATTGTCATTGAGCATTCAATTCATCTGGACCCATCCATTAGATTCCACTCAACAATTCGTTTCTGGATATGAATGATTCTACATGCAAATTTTCTTGAATTTCTTGATTAACTAAATCCTAAATTTGCCTCCTCTGTATCAGTCATCTGATAAAATTTCGTGCATGTCTCCCGGAATAATGTTCTACCCCAGCCATTTAACTTCGTTGTTGTTCCATGTTTCCTTACCGGTTTCTGCCTTCTACCATCACCTCAGCCCTGGGCTCGGTTATTACACAAAAATGATTCGAGAGTCTCGCTTCTATTACAACCGCTAACACTCAATGTTTTCCTTAACCAACTTATTGTATTTTTCCTCTGGGACAGAAACGACTTGAACTAGGGGCCTCGTAGGTTTAGAGGTGGGTACACTACTATTGCGCCAGAAAGCCTCTACCAACCAACCATTAATTGTTTTGGATGCAAAATCTTTGAATTTTTCGATTAGATTCTGCTGCAGTCCCCGTATCCATTATTCCATACATAAACTTAGTGAACCCTCCATTAAATTACATTTGCTAACCCACCCAAGATATCGACCAGCCCTTGCTAAACTGTCACTTAATACATTCAGAACATTGACTGAGCATGCAATTGCACAAAAAACCAATTATACCAAGACAGTTTTCAATCGGGATGCATTTTCCCTTTGCCTTACTTTGTCACAAAAAAGTAACCTTTTGATTAGTAATTTCATCGCTGACAAAGTAATACTACATGTAAGTTCCTAATATCATATTCCACCAAATTTGAGACAGACATATATAAACTTGCGTATCTATTCTGCATCCAATGCCACAGCAACTGGGGAAGGAGAAGAAATAACATTAAGTATGAAATCTAAATTTGCACAAATCCCACAGTCCAGGTCATGATCCGTTGCTCGAATTATTGTGTTTGGGTGTTTTTAGCTGTAATTATACTCATCAGTTGTGCAGACAATCCATCCATATCTAAATGGATTTACAGAAGCGGTTGGATTTTAACATTACGTAGAAAGACTGAGATTGTTCCTCTTCCATCCCAGGTTAGGGGGAGATTTAGTAGACGGATTGTAAAATGAAGAGTGTTTGAAGAGAGACTGTGACCAGTGGGTCAGTGACTAAAAGGCGCAAATTTTTAAGATATTTGGCAAAACAGCCAAAAGAGACATGAATATTTTATGGAGAGAGTGAGGTGTGTTCGCGAATACACAACCCAAACACATCTTGGAAACAAATCCAAAAAAAAAACTGAATCAATAGTTGAAGGGGTGAAACTTGTGAGGTTGGAATATTGGTTAGTTTTTACAGAGTGGCATTGTGAGTTCTCTCTCCGTGTTGTAAGATTCTATGAGATAAGGGTTTGGGGACGGTTCAAACATGCACATTTTTACATGGAGGGACATAAGCCGGGAAAAGGTTGGAATTTTACAATGATCATTCCAATCTGCGAGCGAGGAAGCAGCAGTGAGACCTTGCTCTGGAGATGATCACACATTACAAGCACCTCCTTCCATAAATTATTAAACCGGCTCTGACTACGTGTTCTCATTCCACAGGGAATGCCGATGACGTCCTTGTGTATGTATTTAGGTCTTTTTTTTCTTGAAACTGGAACGTGACTGCTCTATGTGGACGGTGACTTGGTCTGTCGTATAAAACCAGCAAGTTTCGGAGTATTGGATATCAGAGTTCCAGTCCTGGGACTTGGAGAGAACTAGGGGATCTCGACTTCGCTGAGAGAAAGAGAGAGAAACAACCAAGGAAACTGTCAGAGGCTCAGGAAGAACTCAGAAATAGGCGCGGAGAGAACGCAGAGATCTTGGTGCTTCAGTTTCTCATTCTCTAACTCAGCACCAAGGACAGCGACTAAACACACAGCTACAATCTGAAGCAACAACGTAATATCTGGTAAGTGTTTCAACTGGCTTTTGATTGCTAAATTTGTTTCTGGAAGGTGCAAAAACGGCACTATCTTTAACAATGTACTCTCCCATGTATTTCCAGACAAATTGATAGTTATTATGTGTGTGTGTGTGTGAGAGAGAGAGAGAAAGAGAGAATGAGAGAAATGGGTTTGAGAGATAATAGATTAGAATTTCGAGTAGTATGTCTCGTGCTTTGTTGCTGAGATAGACTTATTTCCAAGAACTTTGATTTTCTCCCCGTACCACTCCCAAAGACTTCCCTAAATTTTCAGCTAGAACCCAGGTCCGAAACCATTCAGTGGAGTGAGAGACCTTTTCGAATAGCTTTATTGAGGTAACGCCTCCCTATGTTGGATTTCAGGATCCGACGCAATGGTGATTCGGCTCAGCTCCCACGTCCTGACGCTTTTCGCTCTTCTGAATGTGTTCTGCTCCCGCACATCGGGGTTCCCGGCGCTTGGAACCTATTCCCACCTGAGGTAAGTTCGCTGCCCGCTTTCTCCTCCGGCCTCCAAAGGCACTCGTTTCCAATGTGAAACGCCCTCAGTGATTTTCTTTACATAAAGAGTCCTGAACTAATGTGGGCAATCATGCTGCAATTTCAGTTATTACACACGACCGACTTGAAAATAGAGCATTGAGCTGTTCAGAGAGCTGTGGGGCGTAGGTCCTTCTGCATATTTCAGGCGGAGATAGATTCTCAGAACAGTTCTGAGTGTCACCGGACCCGAAATGTTAACTCTGTTTTTCTCCTCCACAGATGCTGCCAGACCTGCTGATCTTTTCCAGCAACTTTGTTTTTGTTCCTGATTCACAGCATCCGCAGTTCTTTCGGTTTTTTTTTAAATTTAGATTCTTGATCAGTTGGGGAACCAAGGGTTATGGGAAAAGAGCAGGAAGTGAGGAATGTGGAATCAGCTATGACCCTGGTGAATGGTAGAGCAGGCTGGAGGGACCGAACGGCATGCTGCTGTTCCTTCTTCTTACAGTCATTGCATCTGGGGATGAAGGGAGATGGGTCCATCTGCAATCTCGATTGTACATTGCAGGATAGTAATGTAGACACGCACTTACTTGAGGGGCTTGCCAATTCAGCCTCGCGTCCAGAGCTTTGCTATGAAAACACGAACGGGGGAGAAGCGGGAGGGTGCAACTGATGATCACAACTTCCAGGTATTTCATTGAATTTGGGCTGATTTGAATCCATCACATCAAGTGCGGGGATAATGCTCATAAATGACTATGGGCAAGTTACGGGGTAAAATTGCCACATTCTAAGGGAAGTGGGGAAGAGTCACTGGGATGATGAAGATGATGTGGTCAATGTTGGAATGAGTGACTTATTTCTGGGCTAAAAATGGTTAAAAAAAGAACTCCCATATAAACTAGAACTCGCCTCACACTACACTCCGCAGATTGAACAGGGAGTGTGGAATGTGAGGTACCCTCCCAACTCTTTCTCGAGGATTATTTTGGACCTCAACTTCTTTGTAACGTTACTCCTGGAACAAGCTGGATACTTATGCTGATAACCGGGTGAAAAGAAGGGCATTCTTTCGATTGAGATTTTCTCTCTGATTATTGCTAACCACTTTCTTCAGTCTGCCCAGAATATTGCTGGGGGGGAAATTGCTGTGATCCTGTGTCGAGACATTATAAGATAATTCAAGATTGGCTTTAATCGGTATGTCTGGGGAAAGGTTCATAGATGCAGAAACCAAATGGCTACAGATAGTGACATGATCACTTCTGCCTCAAATTGCGTACCGATCACCCTTTTTATATAGTTGGTTTCTATTATTCTGATACAGTTTAGATCATTGCCATGTATGGCTCTGTCTACGCTGTTTGTCAGCACTGTGGCCATTAGGTTACACTAACACATTGTTTGTGAGCCAGCCTCATGCTATTTACAGCCAGGTCAATGCTAATTCGTTATCTGACGCCATTGATGGCTCCATCAAGGCTGGCCATAGTTGGACTGACTTTATTTACTTCTGACCTTCAGGCTGGGAAATGCTGTTGGGTTCGATGGACAGTCCAGTGAGGATCAGTCGCAATCACCAGTGAAAGCTGATAGTGACATTTACCAAAACCCATTGTCAGACAGTGACAAACTCTATTACCAGTTGTCCGCAAGCATTCCAAGGTGAGAGAATTATATTGCTGACCTCATATTTTAAAAAAAATACAATTCAAAACTGCTCACAAATGGGCCTAGTATAATGATCTACATTAAAACTTAGGAAATATGATCAGGAGTAGGCCATTCACCCTCCTGGAACCTGCTCTACCATTCAATATTCATGGTTGATCTGGTTGTGGCCTTAATACTCTTATCTTATTTTCCCTCCTCAACCCAGTAACCCTTCACTCCTTTGTCCATTAAAAACATCTTTAGTTCCATCTTGAACATATTCAATGACTTAGCCTCCAATGCTCATACCAAGAGAATTCCCAAGAGGTGCAACTGAGAGGAGAATTACCACCTCATTTCTGTCTTAAATTGAACATCTTTTAATTTTAAACTCTGCCACCAGTTCTACATTCTACCAGGAGGAGGAAGATTCTCTCTCCCAGCAAACCCCTCTCAGAATCCCTTCTTCTCCAATAACATCGCTGTTCTTTCTTCTAATATCCAAAGAGTACAGGCCCAACCTGCTGATTGCCGAAGACAATCTCTTCTTCCCATTACCATTGATCACACGATTAGGCAGCTTGCTGGTGTGTGTGTGAATGGTTTATAAATGTCACTAAGCACCAATTGAAGATGAAGAGTAGCTGATGTTTGGGGGCAGAGTCCAGAGTACCCTTCCTTTCAGAGATTGATCCAACAGTTCCGCACGAACTGTACAATGTTTTTTTAATTAACAATTTCTTTTCATAAATCTCCCAAAAGTCCTCTTTATTAAAACTGTCTGTGTGGTTCTTTCCATTCATCCAGAGCAACACGACATGCAGATGCACTTTTCACCAGTGGCTACAGCAAGCTGCTTGGCCAATTATCTGCCAGGAGATATCTGGAATCACTGATGGGGAAGAGAGTCAGGTATGTGAATGCTGGGGTTGAGGGCGGGGGGAAATGCATTCTGGTCAGGGCAGGGCAGGGCAGGGCAGGGACATACACGGTGCAGGCAGGGGCTCACGGTTGAAGCACATGGAACACTCTGGAGCTGCAATCTGCAACTGAATGTGATTGAACTATACAATTATAAAGTATGTAAACAAAAGAATGAACATCAATCATTTGCCCCCTCAAATGATACTCTAGAGCATTGAGTTGGGGAATGCATTGCATTTCTAGATCTATTGAATAAATAGATGGTTTAAAGTGATACCAATTACTCCTCAGTAACGAGCACATACAAATAGCAACATTTTTACAAGTAGAACTGAGAATCTGAAAATTGTTGCACCAAATAGGAAAATGGCATTTTCCATTCTAGGGAGGTGAGAAATCTTTTGACATATTAGACAATAAATTATCAATGGTTATAGAAACAGAAGTTAACCCAACTCATGATGTGGTGGTGACTGAGCAGTGCACACACTGGAGAAAGAAAACAATGGCTGTTTAACAAGAAATGGAGAGTGGGCATAAATGGGTCTTTTTCAGATTGGTAAGATGTAATAAGCAGAATGCCACAGGGATGGATGGAACTTTAAATGCTTACAAATTATACAAATAACTTGGATGAAGGGATGGAAGATGTGATTGCCAAAGCTGACAATGGTATAAGGATAAGTTGGAAAGTAAGTTGTGAAGAGGACATAACGCAACTGCAAAAAGATGGGTTATGAGTGAACAAAGATGTGGCAGATGAGTATAATGTGGGAAATGTGAAATTGTCCAATTCAGCAGGAACAATAAAAAAGAAACATATTCTCTAAGTGGTGAAAGATTGCAGTGTTCTGACATGCAGGGGTTCTAGGTGTCTTAGTATATGAATCACACAAATGTCAATTTGCAGATAGTACAGCAAATAATTAGGAAAGCTAATTGTTATTATTTATTGTGAGGGGAATAGAAAAGTGTACAGTAGTGGTCACTTTATGTAAGGCATGATGTAAATTCATTGGAAACAATTCAGAGAATGTTTACCAGACTAATAGGTAATAATATATAATGAGTGGGTTATCTTACAAGGAAAATGTGCATATTCTAGGCTTGAATCTGCTTGACTTTGAGAGAACAATGTAAGTTAATTAAAACATAAGATGCTGAGGGGTCTTGACAGTGTGGATGTGGAGAGGACATGTCTTCTTAAGCAAGAATCAAGAACTAAGGGCCACTGTTTAAAAATCAAAGTCCTTGCAGATTAGTAAGGCTGAGATGGTTAGATTCTCATTAAGCAAGGAGGTGAAAAGTTATCAGTTGTAATTGGGAATATGGACTTGAGGTTACAATCAGATCAGCCATGATCTAGCTGAATGGTCGAGGAGGCTCGAGGGCTGAATGACCTGATCCTCAATGTGTGTGTTTTACTACCTATGTTAGGGAGCAAGTTAGTTGAATTGTTCAAGATTATGAAGGTCTTTAAAATATTAAATGTGAAGAAACTGTTTGATGGAGGGTTTGATAAGCAAAGGATACCAGTTTAAGGTCATTGGAAAAAGGAGCTTTCTTTCCCATGTGTTGCAGGTTGTCCTGATTTAGCATGTGCTGCCTGAAGATGACGGAAGCGGATTCCATAGTAACTTTCAAAAAGGAGGCATAAAGAAGATGCAGGGTTATAAAGCTACAGTGGGGCAATTAGATAATGCTTTCAAAGAGCTAGCCTAGAGTGGGATGAATGGTCTCTATCTGTAATGTAAAACTCTGTGACTAGTTGTCATGCTATGGCAACTGTATTGATGAAGATTTTCCCAAATTGTCATGTTTAGCTGAATCTAAAGGGTGTTCCATGTGAACAAAGAACAAGGGAGGCCACTTGGCCCTTTGTCCCTTCTTTGCCGTTCAATAAGATCGTGGTTGATCTGGTTTTAATTCAACTCTGTATTCCTGCACATCCTTGATAATCTTTCATCCCCTTGCTAATTAAGAATTTATCTACATCTGCCTTGAGAATATTTGAAGATTCTGCATCCTTTGCCCTCTAATGGAAGTGAATTGCAATAACACTCAATCTTCTCACAGGAAAAATAATTTCCTCACCTGTCTTAGATGAGCAACACCCTATTTTAAAACTATGACTCCTCGTTCCACCAGACAAGAGGAAACTCCTTTCAACAGCCACCTGGTCAAGTCACCTCAGGATCTTTTATGCTTCGATTAAGTTACCTGGCTCTTCTCCAGAGGACACAAATCTAGCCAGTCTATCTTTTCCTCCAAAGGCAATCTAATCATTCTCGGTCTTAGTTTAGTAAACCTTCTCTGAGCTGCTTTCAATGTGTTAGCATCCTTAAGTACAGTGACTAGCACAGTACACAGCACTCTGGATGTGATTCTATGAATACTTTATATAACTGAAGCACAATCTCCCTTCCATTCAGAATTTATTCATGGTTTCAATCACTTAACAGAGGAATTCTAAGGGAGACCCTTTTATCATGTGTAATGTACTGCTGGGTTGGGGGAGTATGCACATTGAATCTTATTAACTGGCCCGTGTGCTGGGCCTGAATATCTTAGACTGAAGATGCTTTCTTTCTGATAAACAGCACCCAGGATGAGCAGAATCCAGTCAAACGTCACTCTGATGCTGTCTTCACTGACAATTACAGCCGAATCCGGAAACAGATGGCATTGAAAAAATACATCAATGGCTTACTGGCTGGCAAGAGAAGGTACTTTAAATAAATCTGGACCAATGACAAGATCATTCTCACCACAATGTGCCTCAAGAGTCCGTAAGACCAGATTTATTGTGGTACTATTGAGTTTCAATGCAAATCTATCTTGAGTATGCACAGTATAAAAATTACATAGAGATACAACAAAAAAAGGTTACTAGACCTAACCCAATATGAGTTTGTCCTCCATGCTGTGTATCCAGCTTCATGTTCAATTCTTCCACCTTTCTTTTTTGCTCATAGTCTCTGCTTCTGTCACTTGCTTGGTTGTTGCATTACACGACCTTACAAAACCGGATGTATTCTCTCTATCCAAAACTGTTTGTATTCAATTTAACATGCAAGACATGGTTCAGTGGAGTACTGAAGGGATGCCACATGGTTAGGGGTTCTGTCTTTTAATATCCCAAGGTAGATGTAAAAAATCCACTGACCCTATCTGAAAATAATTAGGGGATTTCTCTGTGTCTTAGCCAATATTTCTCCTTCAACCAACATTCATTATCATCGCTGTTAGTGGGTCTGTGATATTGGAAATTGGCAAACATGCCTTTCCTTATATTAGTATTTCATTTTAAACTTAAATAATTGGCTATGAAGTGCTTTGGAATGTCCTGAGTTTGTGAAGGGTGGGAAATAAAAACCTGCTTTTTTCTAGTTGTTTTATACATGTTTGCCAGTGGCAGTATCATTTTATTATTGTTCCTGTGGAGGCCAGCAACCTTAAACAAATTCAAACTTTCTGTTAATAGTGTAAAGGGTAATAAACAACTTTTCATGTTTTAAGATCTTTTACTATAACAAATAGACTAAAAGCACTATTAGCTAAACAATATTGTTGTAGGCAACTTATACCATAAACTACACATTAGAAAATTTCTCCTTTACTACAGACAAAAGAAAATCCACTTTGCAGCTACACATGGCTTTGCGCTTAATTGATTTTTCCCAGACCCAGACCTAAACGGATCCTTCGCTCAGAAATGCCTACTTCCCTTGCTTTCCTTTTATTTCCTAGCCATGTACCCCTTTAACCCAAGGACAAGTATTTTATGATTGTTTTTCCTGGAGGTTGTCCCTCTAGCACAGGCCAGGAAAATCTTCCATCCTTGTTCCAAATCCTTTGCAATTTGCACTTTTCAATCTTAGCATAGGTACCCACTCTACTTCCGTATAGTGAGCCATAGAGACTCTATCAGCCTTTATCTGTTCTCTCTCCCAATCCTAACGATTTGACTGAGTTATTTTCAGGGATGTTTCAGAAACTGAACCCATCCACCCCACCCCACAGCTCAACTCCATAGTAACATGAATCCAGGTAGAATTGCAGCTTCACCACCATTGAGATTCCAAATCTCTTATCATGAAAGTAAGTTAAAGTATAAATATTTACAACTTCACAATCTCAACATCTTCCATGGAGTTTAGAGATTATAAATCTTACTACCGTAAACAGAGCTGTTGCTGCCATTGTCTCAAAGTGTGAATGCCTCACACCACCTTTCCAATAAAACAACTTAAGTCTCCCTATAATCTCTAACAGACATTTCACCCCAGCCAGTTGTTGGGCATACTTCAGAAAAGGTTCCATAGCCCTTTTGTTTTACCTTAAATTAAAATATAAATAAAGGCAAAGTCACCATAGTACTGTTAGAATATTCTCCCCTTAAGTGACTATTGGTGGATTAACCTGAGGGCCACCATGCCTCAGGTGAGGGGAGAGTTTGAGAAGAAGCATCCTTCATAGCAACCTCAGCTGTTGTGGGAATTGAACCCACATCTTGACATCGTGCTGTATTACAGACTACCTATGCAGCCAACTGAGCTAACTGACCCCAATGTGATAACAATTGCATGAAACTTCATATCTAATATTTAAGAGAATAATATGGACACTCAAGCCCTGAACTCTAAGCGATCCTCCCTCTGCCAAATTGGTTCTCAAAATATATGCATGAAACCTAGCTAAAGCGTGCTTGTTCCACTTCAAGCAATGTCTTTAGTAATGCTTTTCAGAGGTGGGATTCCTAATGGAGTAGGACAGAATTCTGTTTACATTTTTTTTCCGGATTTCAGTCTCTACTGATTTAAACACTTTAAAGCTACGATTGAATACATTTCAAGACGTAATGGTAACAAATCCAGACAATGGAAAAAAATTACTGGTGTCATTATTAGTCTAATTATGGTGAACAACTCTTTCTAATCATCTGTCAACAGCCAAGAAGAACTAAGCTCAGCTAATCTCTCAGACAACCCCCCGCTTGTTGAGAATTATGACAGTGTGATGGTTGACGAGTTTTTGAGTCAGCATCCAGCTTTGGTAGGTATAGATTCTCCCACCAGGCTACATGTGCGTGTCTTGGAGAATTTTCAGCGAGTACAACTGTGGTTAGTGACCATTCATAAACCCTTTTGCACTCAAAAAAATTATCAGTTTCATACAGCTATATACAGTACAGTATGGCAAAGGAGCTCATCTATTTTGTAACTTCATGCAGGTACAATATGGTTTATCATCTGGCAAATTGCCTTAATAAATCAATTTGTTCACTGATGTCCTTTCGAAACGGAAACCTAGCATCCATTCCCAGTCTAATTTAAATGTACCAATATATTTAGTAAGCCAGTCAGTTGTATTGAAATAATGGTTCAGGAAGAAGGCCTGCTAATATTGTCTGAAGTCAACTAAAGATGGAAAATAAGAGCTGACCTTGACAGTGACACCTACATCCTGAGAATCAATTAAAAAGAGAACAGTTCCATTCATTGAAATGGGTTTGCAATCTGTGTGATGGTACATTTGGAAATAAAATTCTGTTCACAATGCTCTGGAAATAATAATATTTTATCAAAGCAACTTTAGAGATGTTTTTTTGTAGATAAAAGAGTAAATTCATCAACCTCATGCTCTGAGCTGTGAGCTACATTAAAAGGGAATATGACTCACAGACACAGACACAATAGTATGGCTTGTATTACTGGATGTATTCTCTCTGAATGCCATGCTTTAGGGAGCTTAATGTGATGAACAGTTTCCTCTGCAATGGACTGCAGTTACTCCAGTCTAACTAATATAGATAGTTTGCTATAAAGTGGTTAAGAATTGATGCAGTATTTTTCTCAAGTGGCCTATATCAGCAAGTAATATTCAGGATGGACAGTGTTCAACGAAACTTTATAGAATTAAAATGAAAGGTTTTACCATCATGATATTTCCCACTATATCCCAATACACATTTGCAGTGAAGGCATTACTTTCCTGAGATATATTGTGACCAGTAGCATAGGCCAGTTTTTAGAGAGTTGGACACCATCAATTTGAATTTTCATTTAGTCTTCCATGGGATGTGGGCATCCCACGCAAGGCAAACAGTTGTCACCCATCTCCATGTCCTTTGAACTAAGTGACTTGGGAGGCCATTTCAGAGCCAACTGTATTGCTGTGTGTCAGGAGTCACATATAGCCTAGACCAGGTAAGGATGGCAGATTTCCTTCCCTAAACGTTATTAGCAAACCAGAGCTTTTGTGACAATTGATAATTTTATATTGACCATTACTGAGATGTTTCCAATTCCAGAACATTTAGTTAATTGAATTAAATTTCCACCAGCTGTTGTGGTGGGATTTGATCCCACATCCTCAGAGTATTAGCATGGAATTCCTGATTACCAACCAGTGACATTGCCACTCCCACCATCATCTCCTATTCCTACCTTAGCTAATCAAATCTATCCTGTGGGAAGGAACTAAGTTACAAAGATTTTTTTTTCGAAAATGTAAAATTATTTGTCTTTCTTTCCCTTTATTTAACTAAATTTTTGTTTAGTCAGCCTATCATCTGTTCCATTGTTGTTTCTACATTATGGAAGGGTCATTTTAATCTTTCTTCAAGGCAAGTGGAAGCATTTAGATGGTCTGTTCCACTTTTAAATGCAACTAAATTTACATCTTGATTTTTTTCAATGTGGAAAGAAATTGACCAGGATACAAAATGTCTAGCCAGTCAGATTGTATCAGTCCCCTGATAGATGGGCCAGGTCAAAGATTCCCCTCCAGCTTCGATCAACCATTAGTTTGATATTTAAACTAAAAAGTTGCAAGTGAGCTTGGCCACACTTGCCTTAAAAAGCAGCTTGTGAAATGACTATTTAGAAGATTTTTGGGTTCAATTCCTGCTCTCGAGACTGGAGCACATAATCCAGGCAGTGTTCCAAATGCAGAATTGAGGGAATGTGGCACTCCCTGAAGTGAGAAATTTTAGGTGTCATGTTGAAATGACATCCCTGCTGTAGTGATTACAACAAGGTCAGCCAGGTGGACCTCTTAGAATATGAGTTCCCTGATTGGATCTGGTGAACAGCCCCAATCAGGGAGCGCTGGCTGACAGATATAAACAGGAGTGTCAAAGGTTCTATTCACTCTGCGAGCTGGCTCTAAGAAAGCCAAATCAGTTTCAAGTACTCTACGTATGTAAATAAAGAGTGACTGGGTGATGGGATATGGCCTCTGTGGAGTTATTTCCCCTGCCCTCTCTTAGTTAGAGATAAAATATCCAAAGACGCAACTTAGAGAAGAGTGAGAATTCTTCTTTGTGCCTGAGTGAACATTTAACATTATGAAGAATTTAAATCAAGTTATAATTTATTTGAGTTGTGGAGAATTAATAAAGTTAAAAATATTGACATAACATTTCTCAGAACGATTTTCTTATTCAAATGGACAATGAAAGGGGGGCTGCAATTTCTCCGAATATATTGATTCTCTGACACCAGAAAGGCATACACTGACTTTCTGATGAAGGGTCTAGGCCTGAAACGTCAGCCTTCCTGCTCCTGTGATGCTGCTTGGCCTGCTGTGTTCATCCAGCTCTGCACCTTGTTATCTCAGATTCTCCAGCATCTGCAGTTCCTACTATCTCTGACTAATGACTGCTCTTTTTGTTTTAAATAGAATCTCTGAAGACCTCTGACTTATTGAGCTGAAAACTACGCACAGCCATTTTCCTTTATTAATCAGGAGTGAACGTGTGAAACTCCAAAGCTAGTATGTTGTGTAGTGAAAGTCTTGTAGTTCCTTGTAAATGAGAGTCACTGTTCATACATTGTAAATAACATCCTTTTTTGGTCAACCTCTGTCTAAAAGTTGTATATATCTGTTAGCTTTAGACTGACAATGTTACTCTCCTATACTGCCCTAACCCCTAATAAATGTATTGAATGCAGCATGTGAAAGTCACACTGTATTAACTTGAATTGTAAACATACCCATTACATTCAAGGCTGTTAATGAGTTATCACCATTGTCTTCACTTCTGGACTATAAATTTTGAATTATATCTCTGATGTATCAAGTCGTATATAATTTGTTTCCCTCTGTCTCACTATGGTTGCAAGGGCATCCTTTATGTCAAAGGGAATGCAATATAAAGGGATGAAACTTGTGCTATTCTGCTTAAAACTTACCAGATGGTGGATCGCATTCAGTTTTGAAGGAGCATCTCAGGAAAGAGACTTTGGCCTTGCAGGGGCTTCAGTGCAGATTCACAACAGTGGCATAGTGGTAGTGTCCCTACTTCTGGGCCAGTAGCCCTGGGGTCAAGTGCCATTTACTCCAGAGATATGTCTGAAACAGTGGATTGAAAATATTGAATACGGACTTAAACTATGAGGAAAGGGTTTGCAGTTTTTGGAATATTGACTGAAAAGCACAGTATCAGGTCAACATAAAGTCATTGGTACAGCAAGCAATATCATTACCATCACGGACTTGTGTAAAGAAGCTCAACAGAATGGTCTATAAATAAAACCTTCAAAAGTAAGGTTGCGACTACAAGTCACAAATTAGTTACGGAACAAAAGGACGCCATTCAGCCCATTATGTCTGCACTGGTTTTCTTTCTGACTTAGCTTCAAGCTAATCTGTCCTTTCCCTGTAGCTGTAAAAATTGTTTCTATCTAAATTATTACCCAATGCCCTCTTGTATGCCTCAATTAAACCTGCCTCCATCACACCTTCAGGGAGTGCATTCTTTACCCTAACTACTTGCTGCATGAAAGTTTTTTTTTCTTACTTTGCATTTTCTTCTTTTCCAATTTACTTCCCCTTTGGTTCTCAAGCCTTTTACAATAGGCACAGTTTCTCCCTATCTACTCTGTCCAGAACCCTCACAGGATTTTGAAAATTTCTATAAAATCACTTCTTAGCCTTCTCCTCTATAAAGTAAACAGTACCAACTTCTCCAATCTTTTCTTCTAACTGAAGTTTCTCTTCCCTGGAACCTTTTTAAAAACCTCTTCAGCAATCTGTCTGACACATTCACATCCTTGCTATAGTGTGGCATTCAGCACTTTACATAATACTCCAGCTGAGGTCTGACCAGTGTCTTAAATCAGTTCATCATAACCAACATGTGCTTGTACTCTATGACCTATTTACGAAGCCTAGAATACTGTTTTTTAAAGCATAAAACATTCTAAATACCTGCCCTGCTGCCTTTAATAACTTATGTATGTATATACCTAAGATACCTAGGTGAAAGGACATGTGGTGAAGCCAGCAAACAGGACTTACTTGCGTACCAACAGCATAAGCAGCAAATGATAGACAGAACTAAGTGCTTCCCCCAACCAATGGATCAGATCTAAGCTCTGCAGTCCTGCCACATCCGGCAGTGAATGGTAGTGGACAATTAAACAACTCACTGGAGAGAGGAGGCTCCACAAATATCCCCATCCTCAATGATGGAAGAGCCCAGCACATCAGTGCAAAAGATAAGGCTGAAGATTTCACAACAATCTTCAGCCAAAGTGCTGAGTGAATGATCCACCTTGACTTCCTCCAGTAGTCCCCAGCATTACAGATACCAGTCTTCAGCTAATTCAATTCACTCCACATGATATCAAGATGCTGCAAGGCTACAGGCCATGACAAAATTCTGGCAATTGTACTGTAGATCTGTCCTCCAGAACTTACCGCTCCCCTAACTATGCTGTTCCAGGATAGTTACAACACTAGAATCTACCCTAAAATGTGGACAATTACTCAGGTATACCCTGTACCTATGAAGCAGGATAAATCCAACCCAGCCAATTGCTGCCCCATCAGTCTCCCTCAATCATCAGTAAAGTGATGGTAAGTGTCATCAACAGTGCTATCCAGCAGCACCTGCTCAGCAATAACCTGCTCAGTGACGCCCAGTTTGGGTTACGCCAGGGCCACTCAGCTCCTGACCTCATTACAGTCTTTGTTCAAACGTGGACAAAAGAGCTGAATTCCAAAGGTGAGGTGAGAGTGACAGCCCTTGATATCAAGGCTGCATTCGACCGAGTGTGGCATCAAGGGGCCTTAGCAAAACTGGAATCAATGGGTATGAAGGGGCAAACTCTTCGGTGGTTGGAGTCATAGCTGACACATAGGAAGATGGTCGTGGCTGTTGGAGATCAGTCATCTCAGCTCCAGGACATCTCTGCAGGAGTTCCTCAGGGTAGTGTCCTCGGCCCAAACATTTTCAGCTGCTTCATCAATGACCTTCCCTCCATCATATGGTCAGAAGTGGGGATGTTCGCCAATGATTGTACAATGTTAAGCACCATTTGTGACTCCTCAGATGCTGAAGCAATCCACATTCAAATGCAACAAGATCTGGACAATATCAAGGCTTAGACTGACAAGTGGCAAGGAACATTCATGCCACACAAATGCCAGGCAGTGACTATCACCAGTAAGAGACAATCTAATCACCACCTCTTGACATCGAATGGTGTTACCATCACTGAACCCCAATACCAACATCCTGGGGGTTGTCATTGACCAGAAACACAACAGGACTCACCACATATACACAGTGGCTACAAGAGCAGTTCAGAGGCTAGGAATACTACTGCGAGTAACTCACGTCCTGACTTCACAAAGCCCGTCCACCATCTACAAGGCACAAGTCAGGAGTGTGACGGAATACTCCCCATTTGCCTGGATGAGTGCAGCTCCAACACCTTCTCAAGGGAAGCTAGGGACAGGCAATAAACGCTGGCCCAGCCAGCAATGCTTACATGCCACAAATGAATTTTTAAAAATACTCCACTCCACATTGCTGGTTGTTCCAACATTTATTGCCCATCCCTTTGGAATTGTTCCAGCTGTGATCAATGGATTTTGCTTCATGACCACTATCTGCAACTGCAGATCTTCATTCTTCCCATTGCATTGGCCTCTGAACTTCATTTGTCATCTATCTAGCACCTCACATTTACTTGATGCTTTCCTTCTGCTGTTGTCATTCTCGCTGTCACAAATTATTCAGATCTGATGGTGCCAACCTGTTGTATGGTATAGGTTGATTCATCAGAATCTTGTCTAACATCTCGCCATCTTTATAGACTTGCATTGCTTCTTTCTAGCAACACACTTACATAAAAATGCATTCTGCTTCTGCAGTTAGAGCACTACTTTCCTCACACTGGGTATGCTTTCTTTTCTTTTATGTGATCCCCTTGGCAAAATGTACATCCTATACTCTGGCTTTAATCTTTCCACTGGTCCTTGTGAAAATATTTCTTCATCGTTATTCTTACTTGGCCTGGAATATCATTCAACATATCACAGTGCCTCTCCTTGATTGCTGTACCCACATCGTCCCTCTCTCGTGAACACTGACATAAAGCATTCATTTAGAATTCTACCTACATCCTCTGGCTTCATGCACAAATTAACATAATAGCCTTTAATGAATGCTACTGTTCCTCTTGTTACCCTTTTATTCTTAAAGTACTTGTAAAATAACTCAGGATTTTCTTTTACTTTACTTGCTGTTAATTTTTCATGCACCCTTTTTCCTCTCCTAATTTCCTTTCTAGGTTTCCCCTTCCTCATTCTGTTCTCCCCCAGGGTTTCTGTTTTGAGCCTTTGATTTCTGCCATAAGCCTAATTTTTTCTCTATATCCTTTAATATTCATGGTTTGCTGAAATTGCTGGTCCCACACTTTATCTTTATTGGAAGACGTTGGGCCTGTGCTCTCTCTATTTCAATCTTGAATGCTTCCTACTGCTCCGACACAAGCATCCTAAAATCATCTGCTCCTACTCCACTCTGGCTACATCATACATGACCCAATTAAAATTGGCCTTGGCGCAGTTTAGAACTTTGATTTCAAGCCCGTCCTAGTCCATGCATCTATCGCATTGAAGGGAAAATAATCTATGGTCATAAGATAATTTTGAAAGATCTTGGAAACATCAAAATGGATCATTTAACCTATTTTCCGAATAGTATTCATTATAGACACTCAATCCCAGTGAGGCTTTGGATTGAGTTTAACTCGTTAATTTCTGAGTAAACTGACGAGGTTGCAAGTTTTTCTTTCACACATTCTGCATATTCATCAAATGGGATTCTCTGCATCTCTCCCTGAGAAACCAAAACACACGTTAACCCACTGGCTTTTGTCACTGAACATCAAGAGAAACTTAGGGTCTCCCCCAGCTCTGCTCCTTAGATTGCTAAAAAAACTTTTAAAAATTATTTCCAGTATGAAGATTTCAATAAACTCACCGCCCTTCTGCTGGTTTCAATCATTTTTGTTCTGAACTCAAACTACTAATGTTTCCTAATCATCTCTCTGTGTGTCATAAAGCACATCGAAGTGAACATTTAATGAATTAACTCCCAGATAGCTTACTAGTCATTTAAATTAAGTCACTTTTTTCTTGGAAGTATGTTTCAACAGACTCTTGAAATTATGGCTTTCTTCTCTCTTAAATAAAGCCCCCTTCACAGAACTAAAATAAAAGACCATTTAGCCTTACAAGACAATCCAAATTCCTAAATGATAACATTTTTAAAACTTTATCGAAGATAGTCCTATCTTTGATGGCATCATTTTTCAATTGTCCAGAATTAAAGGTACATCACATAATAATCAATATTCTTCCTGTTCCAGAGCTGTGATGTTGAACATGTGACCAACAGCGTGCCACAAGTGTTGGTGCTGGGTCCACTGTTTTTTTATCATTTATAGGAATGATTTACAACAACAAACAAAGAAAATTACAACACAGGAACAGGCTCTTTGGCCCTTCAAACCTGCACCGACATGCTGCCCATCACAACTAAAACCCCCTACCCTTCCAGGGACCATATCGCTCTATTCCCATCCTATTTATGTATTTGTCAAGACGTCCTTTAAACTTCACTATAGTATCTGCTTCCACTACCTCCCCCGGCAGTGGGTTCCAGGCACCCACCACCCTCTGTGTAAAAAACTTGCCTCGTACATCACCAGTAAACCTTGCCCCTTGTACCTTAATCCTTTGGCCCCTGGTAAGTGACTCTTCCACCCTGGGAAAAAGCTTCTGACTGTC